ACATTCTGTTTCATTCGAAAGCTTTGATTAAACTCGATAGATTGTATCATTAAAGTATAAAAACTAAGGTTATTTTTGGAATTCCAAACCTCTAATTCTTAAAATTAATGGCGTAACTGGCTTTGACGAAGAGTGAGCCGGGATGTCCTTCACGGGTAAGTTAATGTATATTTGGAGGTACCCCAGAGTATATTTTAAAAATGCGAGGTACCCGATAGTTAGTTTCTAAAAATAAAGGGTACCTGTACCTCAGAGTATATTTTAAATATATGAGGTACCCGACAATTAATTTTTCAAAATGTAGGGTAACTAGCAATTTGTCTCCTTCATATACTCCGTAAAAAAGAAGCTAAGAAAAACTACGGTGCGGGGGTAAAAGAACAACGCCACAAAACCCCAAATCACAAGCAAATCTACACTCCGTACATCGAGAGTTTCTAGGGTTTCCTCCGCTCGCATCAACACCAATAGCCTGAATCCATTCACTGATTTTCGCTGGCTCTCAGATTCGGGTGGGACTCGGCTTCATAGGTTGGTCTCCGTCATCTCTGTGTTTGTTGATGTTATACTTTGGTTCGGCGAAGAATGCCAAGAGCTTATGCTTTGTTGGGAATGATTATGCATGAGAAGATATGTGGAATTGGGTTTTCTTAATGCACCGGATTTGATTTGGGTTTTTAGGGGTTTTGTAGAACGTTCTTGGTCGGTTGATCGGTGATTGATGAGGAGGAAGAGGAAAGGCAGTGAGATTTTGTGCTCAAAGCAGAATGGGATTTTGAGCTCGACCAATGGTTCCGAGACGTCATCTATATCAAATTTCAAGTCTCATTATTCGTTGGAAGATTACTCTAGGTTGAGGAAGAAGTGCAAGGAGGATGACTATTATGATGGGCTTTGCTGTGAGGCTGTTAGGTCATGTAAAAGTAAGGCCAGGCTGGCTGGCATTGCTGCCACTGCTCCGCCGTGTGGGACTTCTTCATCTGTTTCATCTGGACGGGGTATTAAGAGGAAGATTGGATGCATAGATGTGGCAAACCAAATGGGTCAGAAGAGGAATATCAATGAAGACTACGTACTGGGAGAAACTATTGGGAGAGGGAAATTCGGATCTGTTCTGCTGTGTAGAAGCAAGGTCACTGGTGTTGAGTTTGCATGTAAGACTCTGCTGAAAGGGGAAGAGACTGTGCATCGGGAAGTTGAGATTATGCAACACTTATCAGGGCATCACGGCGTGGTAATGCTAGAGGCAGTGTACGAAGAAGAGGATAGGTTTCATTTGGTGATGGAGCTGTGTGGAGGTGGGAGGTTGATTGACGACATGGCAAAGGTGGGGCCATACTCGGAGCAGCGGGCTGCAAACATATTTAAGGACTTGATGATGGTGGTCAAGTATTGCCATGACATGGGAGTTGTACATCGTGATATCAAGCCTGAAAACATTCTTCTTACTACTTCTGGGAAGATAAAGCTTGCAGATTTTGGCTTGGCTATGAGGATTGCCAATGGTACATCCATTAAGGATTCTAATCTAATTCTTGTATGCATACATTATTTAATTTGTTTTCAATCATCAACAGCTCTATTTGGTTTCATTAGCACTCACATCTATCTATGGGAGTTGATACCTTTTTATTCTTAAGTGCTTCATTGTGTTGATGGAGTCGACCTATGTTACTATGTATAACTCAGAAAATGCAAGGAAAATAAAATGGGAGGAAAATTGCAAGGAAAATATATGGTGGAAAATAATATGCATGTTCAAAAGTCAAAACAACTTTTCCATCATCTCCGATGGAGTCAAAATTTCACCATTTTTGGCTTTGGGGTGTGATGAAATAAATCAAAATGGATCTCTAAACTATCTGCGCTTCTTTAATTAATGAAGTAGCAGTTAGTCAAACACTGCAACTTTCGATGTTGAGCCGGGGGTCTCTTTGGAAACAGCCTCTCTACTTTCGAGTAGGGGCAAGGTCTGCGTACACACACCCTCCCCAGACCCTACTCTTGTGGGATTTAACTGGGTTGTTGTTGTTGTTGTTNCTCCGATGGAGTCAAAATTTCACCATTTTTGGCTTTGGGGTGTGATGAAATAAATCAAAATGGATCTCTAAACTATCTGCGCTTCTTTAATTAATGAAGTAGCAGTTAGTCAAACACTGCAACTTTCGATGTTGAGCCGGGGGTCTCTTTGGAAACAGCCTCTCTACTTTCGAGTAGGGGCAAGGTCTGCGTACACACACCCTCCCCAGACCCTACTCTTGTGGGATTTAACTGGGTTGTTGTTGTTGTTGTTCAAAAGTCAAAACAACAAACTTTCCCCAGATTTTTTTTATTAATCTCATCTAGTTTACTTCTAATATATTAATACTAATAAATCTAAATGTATGTGATTTGGATTTAAGATAACTAATCACATTTTTTCCTAGTTAAAACCAAACATAGTAAAAAGAAATCCATATCTTTTTTTCCTACTCCCTGGCATTTTCCATGATCCGAGTGCTTTACTTGTCTGCATATATCCAGGGAGATACAGTGTATTTGAACTGCATTCTGAAGATGGTATAAAATTATCGATTCAAGTTTTGAATACCTATACTATGAATGTGTGTGTGGTGGGTCGGGGTTTGGGGCCGGTGTCCGTGTGGGGTGGAATACATCGAACTTGCTGTTGTCTCTTACTATCAGTGAAGAAATCTATTATTGCATTATGGGAAACTAGAAGCCTCTGCATTGCTGATCAGTGGTCAGCATCTAACTAGACCTTGCTCACCTATGTCAATGCTCACATCATCTTTCTTTACTCATGTTTCATTGCAGTTGGTGAGCATGGTACTAGGGTTCTGGAAATCTAGCACTATCATTGGAAAAATAATAGGGTAAATGGTGTTTTGTTTTGTTTTTGCTCCCAGAGCTTACAAGTAAGGGTCATACTTGCTAGTACCTAACAAGTTCGATATGACTTCTGGTAATTGTCAGTGAGTTCTGGGAGGTTTTTAGTGTAGCATGTATCTATTATAAGTTATTTTATTTCATTCCCTTTTTTGTACATCTTTCCAAGCTGTTCAAGTAAATTAGAATATGAAGAAACCTGATCTTTGTGAAGTGGTTGTCAGTTTTGATTATTATTTTCTGTTTTAATGTCTAGTTGAAATATCATGGCCACAAAGTGAATGAGTTAATCCTCTCATTTTGAAAATACCAAACTTGAAATTTTGTTTTTTCATTCCTATGTAAACCTCCTGAGTTTTTCCTCCTGGTCACATGTTGAACTTCAAGTACTGCTCGGTGTTCTAAAAATTGGGTTACGCAAAACTAAGCACCTATTTAGCATAATTTCTTTTAACAATATCTTATTAAATAATATAAAAATAGTAATGATAATGTAATACGTAGTAAAAATTATTATCAATTATTATTTAATAATCACATTACTACACTAAGAAGCTGCCAATGGGTAGCCTCTCTAGGCTCTCTTCTTTGAAAAAAATGGAACACATGCTCTTTTTAGAACTCAAACTTGGTACCACTCACTATATCCTGTTTACTTCAAGCTTAGAACTAATCTCTCTGTTGGTCTGTGGGTGCAACTATATCCATTTTTTCATATGCATCATACATATATTGATCACACTGTGAAACTAAGTAATCTTTTGTAAATTTATTAAGGAATTATTGTATCCATCAAATGAAATGTGTGTGTGTGTTTCTTATTTTGGAAAAGAATGCTAAGAATCTGATAGGTTCCGCTATGTCCCTGCCTAGGCATCCTAGTTGCTTTGCTGGCACACGATTCGGGCTTTCTTTTTGGTGAAGTTATCAGACTGTTTTCTGTATAAAAAAGGAACACGGTTTTCCATGTTTTCCTTTTTGGGTTGTATACAATGATCCGTACTTGAATCATGGCTAGTAAACTGTATGCATTGCCTTCTATCAATATTGTTTGCCTCAACACGACAACAATGTCTGCATATTTGAATCAATTTTTAGTAGACACATGTATACAGTTCTTCTACGGATTGATTCCATTACGTTGCATTATACCTTACCAAACATTGCTTTAGGGCTCATATTGTTCATCCTTTAGCTAAACTTGAAATGATTTCACAAAAAGAAGCTTTATTGCAATAACAAGAAAACCTAAGCAGTCACACAAAAATTCAAAATGGAACACCCCCGGATGGCAGGAAAATGCTTGGGATTTTATAGTGTGAGCCAAATTTGTTGTGTTTTGACTCTTGTTTTTAAATAATAGGCCAGAGATTAACAGGTGTGGCTGGAAGCCCTGCTTATGTGGCACCGGAAGTTCTTTGTGGGGATTACTCTGAGAAAGTGGATGTTTGGAGTGCCGGTGTTCTCTTGCATGCACTCCTCAGTGGACTTCTTCCGTTTCAAGGCGACTCTTTGGAAACCGTTTTTGAGGCAATTAAGAATTCAAAGCTTGATTTCAACACAGAACAATGGCAATCTGTATCTAAACCTGCACGGGACCTCCTTGAGCGTGTTCTCACAAGGGATGCTACTGCAAGAATCACTCCAGATGAAGTGCTAAGTATGTTCTGTTTTGCTAATTAAAATTTGTAGCCCTTTTGATGAGAGTTATTTGACTGAAATGGTGTGGCCGAAATATTCGCGAAAGAAAATGTTAAGTGAATTTGGTTTCATCCCAGCCAACAAAGTTTGGGATGATTTTTGAAAAATCCAAAAAGTACTTTTTTCAATATTTCAAAAGCAATATGGTGTGCTTTTATTGAAATAAAACTAGTTTATCTGAATTCAAAACCTTTAATTTTTACTTGCATTTATATGATTGTAAACCCACTTTCCTCAACAAAAAAAAGCACCAAACTGTCACTTTTTTGTAAGTCAACCCAAACGGAACTACGTCAAAGGGCAAACTACTAATCCTGCTTATCCTGATTGTTGATTGACCGGTTCCAAGTATCTAGAAACTCATTTTGAATGTTCATGCAGGTCATCCGTGGATTCTTTTCTACACGGAACGCACATTGAGGACATTGTCCAGTAAAACAAAGCCAAAACATCATCAAACTGGTCTACCAACTCAAACACCTGTGACTACATCTACACCAGAACGCAATGGAAATGTGACTGGGAATAGTCCCATTGGAAAAGATAGAGCTCCTGCCTCGTGGTCGGAGAGCTTCAATGGAGAATACGATGAAGAACCAGATGAATCTGGTTTGATTGATGCACTCTCAGTGGCAGTATCTCATTGCCGGATATCTGAGCCTAAGAGGAGCAGGTTATGTGTCCGGCGCACCAGTCCAATTATTGAGGAGTGTTCTTCTAACTTGACTGCTAGTAACCTCTGCCAAGCATTTTGAGCCTAATTTGTTACTTACATATATCATCTTTAATTTACTTACCAATGTCTCCAACAGACAAATAATAAATCTGTACATATATATACATATGTAAATAGTTGATCTTTAAGCAGATGACAGAATTTGTGCTGCTATTCCCTTGACTAATAATGTAATAAGTTACTGTCTGACATTTTTCTTCATGCCATTTTTTCTCCTGCTTGAGTTGTGTTTTCATGATCTTAAGGTCTACACGTGAAATGTGGATCTTCTCATACTTTTAATGGGTTAACATTGGATCTTTTATTTTTCAAAGAGCCCAATTCATTCATACTGTTTATATATTAAGGTCCATTCATTCATACTGTTTATGTATTAAGGTCCATTTGCGTGGATCTTTTGACCACAAAAGAATTTGCCTTTCAGGAACACCTCAATTTACTCTTTTGGTAAGTTTTCATTAAATTGTGGTTGGGCTGGTCTTGGTCACCTCGTTCCCGTTATTTGGGATGGTCCAGGTCACACATTCACAAGGCCCATGTTATTGTGCCGGGCCAGGGTTTAGTATAACTTTTTTGGAGTAGTAATAATTAGTTGTGTAAACTGTAAAGCCCGTCGAACTCGACCAGGCTTGGCCTATTTGGATTCTCTAAGTGTGACTTGTGAGGCCCAACTACTTCCCAAGGATTTTTAGAAAACTGATGCCCAGGCTAGTTGGAAAGTGAAATTTACATTAGATAATACTCTGTACTAAGCATATATATTTTTTTCCTAATGTAGTATTTAAAATTTTTAATTCTTCATATAGTATTTGAATAATGTCTAGTGGCGGGAACAATGTCTAGTTGCGATGGACATTTACTTGAATAATGTCTAATGGCATTGAACAATGATACTATATTGAAAAATTAAAACATATGATAGTACATTGAAAAGCTTATTATTTTTAGTCGGTATAGGTGAATTCCCCAATTGGAAATGCCCGGTAGCCACGATGAATGATTCTATTTCTTGATAACCTTTGATTATGAATTAAATAATACTCCCTATGTCCCAGTGTGTTTGTCCAGTTTGACTTTTTCGAGTTAAATTGGATAAACTTTGGGCTTCAATTAAATAAAAACTGTAATGGATTTTAACATAAAAATGACTTTATTAGATTTATCGTATTGAGAATTTTCAAAATTGTATTTCATTATGCTAATATGCAATATAAATTGAGAGTAATTGGAGTTCAAAGTTTGTCCAGTTTGACTCGAAAAAGTCAAACTGGACAAATACACTGAGACGGAAGTAGTAATAGTATATTAATACCTTATAAATAGTAAACAAGAAGATACTCTTAACTTTTAGAGGGAGAGAGTAATATTTTCTCTGCCCCAGAAAAAATATTTTTTATTTTTTTTGAGACGTCTCAAAAGAATCTCATCTTTTCTCTTTCGGAAAACTTTGAGTAACTCACAATCTTTCTCTCTTCTAATTACAAATTTTCAATTATACTTTGTGCCAACCCAAGCTAAGAGTCTCTCTTTTTGGAGCGAAGATATTATTTATTAAACTGATATTCAAAGTTCATTCCATAAAAAATTAAACTGAACGGATACACGGGGAAACTCAGAAAAAGTAGCAACACACTAGTGATTGTGGAGTATAATTTGCATGAAAGTAAGGCAGCCACATGTAGCTGAACTCCTTGAATCATTTGTGGACCCCTTGATGGTGCATCACCCCATAGGGCCCCACAAAACCCTGATTTGGTAAAGGATTCAAGGGGGCATTACTATTACACAAGAAATGCAAACAAAACTTGCAGACATGGCTGGGGTAGTCTGGAGGGGGGCATGCAGGTTCTTGCTGAATTGTTGCAGTCATATATTTGACTTTCTTGGGTTCACTAATTTGTTTGCAGCCCTTGGATAATTTGGTAAATTTGAAGTTTTTTTTTAATTAAAAATAACTGAAAATACATCTATACTTTAAGTAGTTTGCATTGCATAGTGCATTTCAATGATTTCACCAAGTGTCATGTCTATCATTAATTCATAAAGGAAAGACTCTTCATCCCAAGAAATATTCAACTTTCACAAAGATCAACACTTTAACCAAGTCTTGAGGAAATGATGATAATAGCCTAGTTGCATATGCATAGTTTGGCTGGCAAAGAAGGGTGCAAAAAAGGGAAAATTAAATGTCCGAATTCGATACTTAACAACGATAATGAAGTGATCATATCTAACATGAAACTCTTACAAATAGCAGAAATGCCGGTGGGCATTGCGTACTTGGCAAAACAAGGGGTGCCAAGGGGGTAAGACCCGAGTTCGATTCCTGGCAACTGCGTTGGCAGGCAACTATGCTAAGCATAGATACTCTGCAAGTACCACGTGCGGGCTCCACTCTTTGCCACCAATCTGCGATTAAAGTCCAATTTACATCCTCTCAGTGATCGTTCGGTCGGGGATGTGGGGGCACTCGGGGATGTGACACATCCTTCTTTTTTACAAATAGCGGAAACAAATATCACCTCTTTTTCCTCAAACTAAGATTATGACTTTATTACTATCCCTGAGATATATGTCTAGTTGGTCCAAGAGGGACTTTGGAGATATGTTTATTTCTTTTTGTTATGATAGCTAGCTAAATTAGCCTTGGCCTGCTTTTAAAAAAGCAATGTAAGCGTGTCCATTGTAAACCATAGTCCTACCTACATACATACATCTTTTGGACATAGAACAACATGAGTGTGTCTCCATAATAAAATGCATTTGTTTCTATTAGGAACACACTACTTGTTTGGATTAACCTTTTGAATTTGCAATATGCTATCAAGTTACCAAATATTAATTTTTTGTTTAAAAAATTCACCAAATATTTTGGATGGCGCTCATCCTTTACAAATTGCCGGTGAGGGATGCATAGTTGACAAAGGCAGTGTGTGCCAAGAGTAGACCCAAGTTCAATTCCTGACAACTGCGCTGAGAGAGAACTATACTAAGCATATGATCTTTGCAAGCACCAACTAGTAGTATTTAATTAGTGCTATACTGTGTAAGTGTTGTATGACAAATTAAAGAAGCCATAAACATGTGCCATTATTATCAAAGTGTTCAAAGATTAAGGCTCTGCTTTACATCTTTTCAGCCAGGTAAGTGATGGGGCATTATGACTACCCTAGAAATTTTGGAACCCTTCTTTTATAGATTCAATATCTTGATCACTCTTATTGGTATTTTTGTTTTTATGTGCACTATTTTGAGTATTATTGTCGTCGAGGAGTGCGAAAATTAAAGAAATTGATTTTATTGAGACGAATGAAAAAGAAAATTGTTTTCATATGGAAGGTGATCCTTTCGCCTAAGTGTCTACCGCGCTTAAAACATTGAGGGCCACAATAAAGTATAATTGATATGATATGAGGTCCAAAATCTAGTAAAAATGATATTGATTTAGAAATTTGAAATGAAAACATTTTGATGTTGGTTATAATTAGTGACAAACAGGGAGTAACAACTAGGGGTGGCCGGGGTTGGTGGGTCCCGACGGTCGAGAGGTACATCAAGACGCTCCATTTAGGAGAGGTGTGATATCACGAAATATCAAATTTGACATCTATATAAGTATCAACAAACACCCACAAAATAATCCTATTAAGAACTTGTTATCTTCAACTTATTTATAGTGAACTTTACACTAAATAGTACTAAAATATGTCATTTTCTAATGTAATACTTAAACTTTTTACTTTCTAAATCGTACTTGAATAATGTCTAGCGGCGGGAACAATGTCTAGTGGCGGTGCAGATTTACTTGAACAATGACTAGTGGACAATGATCATTGATACTACATTGGAAAATAAAAACAAATTGTACTACATTAGGAAAGTCACTATATTTTGATATTATTTAGGTAAAATCTCCTTATCCATATTACTTATTGATCTTAATGAAATCAGATCATATCAGAAACAATTTTAAATATAACTATAATCATATCTGAGCAGAAGTTAATCAAATCATATCAAAATCGAAAGATATCAAAACTTGTTTCACATTTTTGATATGGAAAGATATCAAAACTTGTTTCACATTTTTGATATGGAAAGATATCAAAACTTGTTTCACATTTTTGATATGGAAAGATATCGAAACTTGTATCTCAATTTAAGACTATTTTTTCAAGAGTTGTGCTAGGAGACGTCAAAGTAGACACCACTTTGACCTCATATATATCACATAGAAACACACAAATAATAAGTGTCTGTCTCTGTAAGTTGTTACTTCATGATTTCATCTCTTCCTCGGCCTCTTTTATTCCCCGTTCCTCAAATTTTTTAGCCCATCTTCTAACTTCGAAGGCTTATTCTCAAGCTCATATCATGTATTAGGACATGATCCCTCCTCACTATTTTTTCCGGCTTTGATTAATCATTATTAAGTATTTATCCTTAAAAAAATTAGTGTCTATCTACACACATACATTTCTTGTTTGTGTTGGTCCGCATCACATATGAGGTCAAAGTGATATCATCATTTTGGTGTCATGTAGTTCTTTTTTTGGAAAATGCTAGGGTGCTACCACATGGGTGCTACCATGTGTGCACCCATGCTTCGCACAGACAACACAGACGATAATTGTCTGTGTCGCACAGACAATTATCGTTTGTGTTTGTCTGTACGAAGCATGGGTGCACCCATGGTAGCACCCATGTGGTGGCACCCTAACATGGTCCCTTTTTTTTTCCATTTTTTTTTTCCAAAAGGTGTTTTGAGGGGATAAAGCACACATCGCATTAAATTATGGCGAGTTGCCTTTTTTCATTTATTGTGCACTTTCCATTCATGTGGAAGAAAAGGTTTCTTGGAACCTTTTCCTTTTTCTTTGTTCATAGGGAAAAAATGATTACAAAGGTTCCCTCTTTTTTTTAAAGCTTCGGGTGCGCCATATCTCTCACTTAGGTGTGTGGTTCACTTACTGTGCACTTTGTCACATTTCTAAAATTGAGACAAAATATTAAGTTTTTCAATTCATTTATTCAAATTTTGGTGTAGAATAAAAAAAATTACATATTCAAAAATCACATGAAAAGTTCTTCGAAATAAGATGTCTCGAGAATATTTTAGTTTATCAAATAACCAATAAAAACATACAAATAAATAAAAATTCTCGCGACCGTTGAAAAAGCAAATGTGACATTCTTTTAGGGAGGGAGGGAGTATAAACAAAGATAAATGTGGAGTTAAATTAATTAAGAGTGGAAGGAGGAGAATAATTTTTATCTCTCTCCTTTTTTTGTTAAGACAATGTGAAATAAAGATGAAAAAGAATAAACGAGTAATAAATTTTATCTGAAACAATAATTTTCTCCGTAATTAATTGAATGAAAAAGTTCTAAATGAAAAGTATATTGAGCAACTTAGTTAGACTATCATTTTCAAATATTTCATTTTCAGATCCGATGCAAATAATTGTAGTTTAATCCAAATAATTAAAAAAATATGTACAGCAAGAGGTAATTAATCACGTGATAGTGGGGTTAGTAAGAAAATAAATAATTAATAAATACTCGGTAAATAATGCCGACAAATATTTGGTTGGCCTAAAAACCCCACATATTATTCCATCTCCTCATGCACTCTAATCACATGTCCTCTCAAATTAACAACTCCACTTCCTAAATGACACCACAACTTGACTCATAAAGTGTGTCTCTCATCCAACTACCCTTTGTTCTTTGGCAGCATTGACTCATTCTAAAAGTCTTGTCATTTGGAGTCTACTTCCTCCGTCCCGAAACGATCTTCCCATTACAAGGTGTTACATGTTTGGAAACTACATTTTTCGAACGAGGATTGCGTTTTAGATAATTTTTTAATGGTTTCAATTGATTTATAATATGTTAAAGTTAAAGATTATCGTTATATAAACTTTTCAAAATGCTAAAGCTAAACAATGATGTTGTTCACAAACAGGCTCCATGTCTGGTGGGATATTGTGTTGTGATTTTTGTGGCTCTTGAGAAACCCCCATAGAATGCATAATTTACTCCATAGTTGCTTTTGTATATGCAATTATTCACATTACAATATGTTAACGAACCAACTCAATTAAGAGGTCAAACCTATTGCTAAAAACCAAAAAATATTTTATACTCCGTGCGAAAACAAGCCTCTCACGTGAAGACAAGGCCAATTTGTTCGAGCTTCTGAGTATTAATTGTGTGTAGATGGATTGGCATTGAGCCCTCCAAATCCTCGACGTGTGAACAAGCTTGCCTTGTGTGGGCAATCATATTGTTCATGCAGCCCCGTATGCTCTTCCCCAGAACGGGCATAAGAGCCTAGAACTTGTTCTCTTCAACTTATTCTTATTTAAATCAGTTCAAATCCGATCAGAAATCAGATTAGAACCTATTTCAATCAGATCAGGCGAATAGAGCAAGCCCTTAGATTACGCAATCATACCGTTCTGCCAGAAGTGTGATGCCAATAACCATAGTATAACAATGCACATTTCCCACAGAGTGCATTTTGATCACCTAAATAACAGGAAATATTGGAGAATGGCAATGGTTGGGATTGGGGGAGGGGGGGGGGGGGGGAAGGGGTGGATCTCAAACATAAATAATGGAATATCCAATTAAATATTAGAAAAACAAGAAATGAATCCAGCAGACAGGATCTAAAGATCTGAAAACAATAAATAGGTCTAATATAAAGAAAAAAAGTAACACATCTAAAAGTCTAAACTGAACACAATGAATGTGAAAAACCAAAGAAAGAAGCTCAATTCTATCAAAAGGGAATAATGCAAATATGGATGTCCAGTCTATCCAAAGGCAAATCACACGCTTCTTGGTCTCCGTTTTTTTTGTCTGACACCCTTCGTTCGCCTTTCCCTTGCAACGTCAATGGCTTCCTCTCTTTTTCTTTTATCTAATACAATGATCAACAACAACAACAACAACAATGACAAAGAAATAGTCCAGTAAGGAAAATTACCAAAACACCACCGAACCAAATATCCGCCGGTCCATGCCATGACCTTTGCAGGAAAAAAGCCAATTCATAACCCCTTAAGACTTTCTATCTTCTCTTCCTAACATCAATAGAGTTGCACGGTACTTGGGGCATCAGTCCTTGGTTCATTAAGAGACCGGTACATGTACAAAACATCAAAATCGTTCCCACTCCTCCCCAGCTCATTCCAGTCAACCACTTCCACCACCAAATTTGGCAACTCGCGTGCAATCTCCTCACAGCATTGACGCGACACCGGGCAAGCTGACATCCAAATGAATCTCATGTTATAGTAGTGCCGCAAGCCAGAACGGGCAGCTGAATCCCCAAACGGGCAATCCCTAATCTCAAGCTTTTGCAACTTGGAGCAACCCTCCAGCACATACGTCAGCCCTGAGTCACTGTTTCCCGCGAATGCAACTGACAAGGTCCGCAAAGATTTTCCATATTGTCCAATGTAACTAAAAGCCTGGTCGGTTAAAAGACCAGATACAGAGAGGCGGGTGAGTTTCTTACAGTTCCTGACAATTGCGGCAAACCCTTCATCCATAGGCTCACCAGTTACTGGGTCAGGCCTGTGCCGCCCCATTATACAGAGACGGAACACCACAATGTCCGGTAAGTTCTGTGACCAGGTAATGACTGCTGCATTTGTCATTCTCTGGCAAAAATATAGTATGTATTGAAGTTTTTTGCACCCCTCAGAGATTGCAAGAAAACCAACTTCAGAAACAGGGCCCTCTAAGTCTTCATCAGCATCGGTTGGGAACACTCGAAGCTCTCTCAGATCCTTGCATGTTTCGGCTACGGCCTTGAGCCCTTCATCACAGATAGAATCAAGCACCTGCAGAGAAAGCCACTCAGGTATAAGAGCCCGTTAGGATGAATTTGGAAACTTTTGCTTAAGTTGGCTCGTTTTCTGAAATGATAAAAAATAAACTAAGCAAGTCAAGGGGAATGTATTGTGTTGATCAAGTATAAGAATAAGTTGACTAATGCAACAAAACAGGGTCTAAGAGCCTGTTTGGTAAGCACAATCCCAACTCCATTGGAGTGGGGGAGTGGGGGGTCAAGATGTAAACAACCTTTCCCCTAAAAAGAGTCTTAAATTCATGATGCATTACTGCATTTACTACCAAGAACTTCCTAGATAGCAACATCAAACTCAGTAAAACCCACGACAATCCCACATATAATAAGCACATAAAGTTTGCTGTGTCATTTTGATTTAGTCCATTTTCTACACGAAGCAAAAACCTTGTCGATAATGACTCTTTTAGCTTTGTTTGGCAAGGTGAGATTTGAGTGCAAATCATGAAATTGCAAAAAATGTGAAATATAAATATGAAGTTCATAAAATAAAGAAAAAAACAAATAAGTAAAAAAATTAACATGATCATCTTCAACAGTTTCAGCCAAGATGAATTATCACCAGCAATTTCTCTATCCCTCTGGCTGACTCATAAGCCAAATAAATTGGCTTAAACCCCCATGAATAAAACAAAATTAAAACTTCAATGAAGTTTCAACAAAACCCTAGGAAGTTTACATACCCAGAAAATCTGCAGTTTGTGGCAGTGGCAAATGACTGCTTTAAGTTGTTCAGCGTCGATATTGGCGAAGCTAAAATTGAGGGAGGTGAGGTTGGCACAAACGGGGTATATGGAAGGGAGATAAACAGGAAGTATTTCCCTGAATCCAGAAAGACAGACTAAGGATTTGCAGGAAGCAAAGGCCGAGGCATAGTTGAGTTCTTCTTGGTCACCACCACCACCCTGATCTCCGTCAGCTTCTTCTAAGGGATTAAATGATCCTGTTCCAAGATGAGTAAGCTGTGGAGCCCTAAGCATCAGCCGATGAAGCTGTTTAATGGAAACAAGCTGATTCAGCTTAAGTTTCTTCAAGCAAGGAGACCTCATCACCAAACTTTCCAATGCTTCAAAATTCACATCGTATACCACACACTCAAACATCAAAGACTCAAGGCATGTCTCACCTTCTGGAAAACATGAAATCCAATCCACATCATCATCTTCGATGATACACTCTATCAAATCAAGCACCCTTAATTTCCTGAGATAAATAAAAAAAATAGCAATCAGGGTGTATGGGCAACAGCTCTTTTCTTATCCAATTACGGAGTAACAAACTTCATTATACTCCTCATTACATTGTGATAGTGATTAATATTCCTATTTTCAAACTGAAAAAATGTTTCGCATAACATAATCTAGATTACATTATATTATAAGATTGAATATAGCCAAGAAAATGAGGTTTTCATTGTCTTATTACTCATCAAATGATTTAAAGATAGTTGTCGACTAAGTAGATTGTACGCTTTACAACATATCAGAGCACAAGTTGTTTCTAACTTTAGCTGTAATTATGAGAATTTCAGCATAAAAAAATGATAACTTCAACACCTCCATACAACAAAGTGAACAAACTCATATATCCTTGAACGGAACCAAGAATATACAATCGGCTTTTATGATTTTTGTAAAACCTTCAAGTCAATAGGAAATTTTATTGAACAGACAATTAATATTAATTTGGTCTTGAACCCTTGTGCAGTACTTACCTTGAAGATCATCCACCACAATGTGTAATGTAATGGTAGACTACATTGCGTTCCAAAAAGTCACCCGAACATTGATTGAACCAAAAGATTAGAAAGAAAATAACATTGATGTTCAGAAATAAGGTATTATTGTTGTTATTGTCATGATTTCTGAACCAATAAGATTTGACTAGACACTTGAATATTTGGATAGAATGATGACTCTAAAGTCACAGGACATGTCATTCAAACGAATACGCTCTCAATTATAAATGGTTGACCATTTTGCATCTTAGTGCCAGATGAGTAGATGATAACAACAAATACAAAAAGTGAACAAATTCTTCCAAGTTCCAAATTTGCTGATGACAAAAATAAGTATGATGTGCATAAGTTTTCTAATCCCCACACCAGAAACAAATTTTTTTGAACTTGTTACGGATAAGATGAAACTTTTAGAATATGTAGGCCATTTATAATTGAGATCACTCAACAGATTGGTTTCAAGGTCAAGTTGTGTGAAATTTGTGGCATTATTGTAACAAAATACTCCGTAATAGAAAGCGTCACGTCAAATCTCGCTGCTTCAGCAATAATGACAAGAGTAGCCACCAAATATAAGTTCTGTTTTCTTTTAATTCTTAAGATTAGATCAATGTATGGATGACTTTCTTGAATGCAAAGTAGCGTACAAGAAAATTGTTGACCCACCCAAACTATTGTAGTTAACCCAAAAGCAGAAAACATTAGAGTCATTAAGAAATGTATTTCATTTGCATGAATCACAACACCATACACTGATACACATTATAGTTAGTGATGTCCAATGTGAATACGTGGCAAAGATCCTATGCCAAATTAATATTAACGATCAATAACAACATCATTTCCTGACTCATGAAGCTAATCTATTGATATTGTTCAAGGTCATAAGAGTGGTTGTATCAATGCCTTGATGTCATCATAATCAATGTTACAATTCACATAATTTACCAATTACAAAGAAGACGGTGAAAACCATAGGTCATGTTTAATCAACCATGTATTGTAATCAAGGCTAAGAGGTTGACTGCATTACCATGTTTACTTAGGTTATAAAAAGTACTCCGGAGTAGTCACAATTGCAATGTAATATCATGGAATAACAATTAAGTACTCCCTATGCAATTGGGATTTACAAAGCAAAACCTATGTAAATGATAAGGGAACTATTTTGCTTCCTACCCACAAGAAATATTGAGATTCAACGAACATTCTTACAAGATCTATATACGAATTTCAAAGTGGGCACGAAATATTTGAAGGAAGCAACACTTACCTGCACCCACTGGCTACAAAAGCAAGAGCTACTGTCCCCATATGTTCGCAACAGACCAGTACGAGCTCCTTCAGATTGGGGAAAGCTTGAGCCATCATCTTCATATCTTCATTGAAAATATTCATGCGTTTGAGATGCAGTTTCTGGAGTGCACGATAGGGCCCGGACAGGACTGTAATCCACGGACTCAAGCTTGCACCCCAATCCGGCGGCAGCAAGCCGAAATCAGCAAAACGGGGTTTCCCCTTGAGAATCAGCGAGGTGAACCTGCTGAAGCGAGCCGTGACTCGCTGAGGCGACACGGCGTAGCAGTTGCCGATGAAGACCTCGGATCTGGTGATAGCCTCAATCCGGTACCACGACTTGCAGACGAGCGACGCGGCGTTCCGGTCCCGCCGATCCGTCAGGAAGCAGAGCACGTTTTCCAGCACATTCTCCAGGACGTGATCCGAGGTGCAGTAGGGGTCTCCTCCCCCGGCGGCGCAGATGCGGGATTTTGCAGCGGCGGCGCCTCCTGATAGATCTGAAGCAGAAGAAGAGGCGCGCGACGGCTCCGCGTCCTCCGACATCTCAGAGCGGTCGTCACTCCCGATGCTACTGCCGGGACTGCAATTACTAGTCTTGTGACTCATCGGATTTATCAATTGGATTCCCAAGAATCTCTGAAATCTATACCCATACAGAATTTTTTTTTTGCAATAAATTTTAAAATAATATCACTCCAGACAGCAATAATATACCCATTTTTACAGGATTTTTTTTTATTATCTCAGATCATGGGGAAGAAAGCGAAGGGTGTTTTGGCTTCTAGCAGAGGGTGGGGAACGAGCACAGTGGCCTCTGCACCCTTAAACTTTCTACTCCAACTAATTATAGGTGGCGGTGGTAGGTGGAGGAGCACGGCGGGACACGGCGGAGGGGGGCAAGCAGCCAAGCATTGGCTGTTTCTAGATTTTAACGCTGCTGCATTTGCCACCGTTACTTTGGGCTTTTCCACACCTCTTCACTCACGCTCTTCTGTCCATTTGTCTTTCTTTTTTACTGGTAAACTTTTCTTTCCTCCCTTTTTCAAAAAAAATAAAAAGTGAATTTTACAATGAATAGGACTAAAACATAATTTATTTCTCAATGTAGGACTTGGATTTTTTTATTCTCTAAGTAGGATTTAATAATGACTAATGAAAAGAATAATGTCCAAGTGATGCTGGACATTTAGTTGAATAATGACTAATAAATATTAACCAATAGTTCTACATTGGGAAATAAAAACATATGATCCTATATTGAGAAAGTCATTATTTTTTAGTCTTATTTAGGTAAATTACCCAAAAAAATCAAAAAGAGCCTCCATTTATGAGGATCTATCACAATAAGAGCACTGAAAATATCTATTCCAAAATTAAAAATGGAACTCTTATTTTATATTTTGGTATATATACTTTCAATATTTTACTTCTACTTTAAGCATGTTTTCTTCACCTGATTTGATTGGTTCTGATCTGATTGAAATAAGTTCTAATTTCTTCTAAATATAGTTATATTTAAAGCCATATATGTATTGATCTAGTCTGATCTGATTTCAATAAGAGTGAATAATAATACGTAAAAAAATTGAGAAGAACATGACCTTAGTTTTTTCCCAAATGATAAGGTAGGGGTTCGGGTTTTTTTTAAAGTCAATGTGTAGTGATAAAAATAATATTCGTATTAAATATCATCTTAATAGTTTAAACTACGACCCATAATTTATAACTAAGTAAATAGATACTTAAATTTAGAAATTATACATTATTATATTACTAAAATTAATTTCAATTAAAGTGTTAAATATTTTGGCCTTTTTTAAGATTAGAAAAGGATTAATGGAGGCATCTAAATTTTTGGGTGTGTTATTTTATAATAAAAAAACTAGATAATAATACTACTCCCTTCGTCCCAAATTATAATGATTGTTCACTATTCACATGGTCAAACTTCATCTACTTTCTTTCTCAATTTTAGTTAGCAATTTGATAAAATAAAATACTATTGTCGCTACTATATACGGAGTACCATTTGTCATATAAAATGATTTGAAAATAATTTCAGTCAAACATTATAAACCGAAACAGACGTTATAAATAGGATAGAGAGAGTACTAATTAGGTCATTTTAATTAATTGGGGGAAAGTGCCCCATTGGCAACGTAGTGGATCCGATCCGCCTCTGTGCGTAATAAAAAGAGCAAATAGTTGTACTCGGTATTTAATACTCTCTCCGTCCCTCTGTATTTGTCTACATTTGACTTTTAGAACTGTTTATCTAAGCACTTTGACTCATCAAATTTTCTGAATGTGTAAGCTTAAATATAGTCATGTGTAATCTTGTTTGATTTGTCTTAACATATAGATTATTAATATATAATTTTTTAATATATAAATTACAAGATAAAATGGATTAAAAAAGTGCATTGGATGGTGTGTAAAAATGAAAGTGGACAAATACAAGGGAACGGAGGGAGTAAATCCAAAACACTTTTTATTATTACATTTGTTTTTGGATATTTATCCATTTTGACCTTTTGCAATTAAGTGTATTTAATCTTTGACTAATAATTAAATACAAAAGGTAAAAATTATATAATGCGTAAATTAGATGAAATAATATTTTGAAAAAACTCTATAAAGACAAATTTAATAAAATAAATTTTGTATCTATATCTAATACTAATTTTTATTTAATTAATGAATTACATTTTTCACTTTTAACTGGAAAAAATTAAAATTGGACAAATACTCAGTGACAGAGATAGTATTTGTTAATATGTCAAAAATACTCTGTAGTATATGTCTAATGGAAAACTTTTTTGTAGTCTAAAATATACACCAATTTTATAAACTTTAGTATATAAACATCATGGATAAATTGGGATTTTTGACAAAAATAAATGATCCTCATATCGGCCTACTAAAAATATGTGAGAAGATTAAAATTTTACATGTGGACTTTAGGATCATTAAAACATAATTCATGTCTAATTACTTGTCTTTCTATCCATTAAAAAGTTCATTTCATTATTGTCTCTTTAATCGGTCCAAAACACTACCTCACTCTCGTGCTAAAAATAAACATGTTCGCATGGGTAGCTCAACCAGTCTAAAGAGATGATGTCAATCCCATTGATCTTAAGGTTAAATCCTGAGAGCGACAGTGTGAGAGTTCTATTATTTGTAATAGCTTTTTGTGTGCATTGAACACACGGCGGACCAAATTCTGATTATACCATAATTTACTCTTCTCACAATTCTGTCGGGCTGAAGTGTGGGGTGCCTGAGATGGACATTCCACCTTTAAAAAAACAGTTGTGTGACATTAATTACTCCTATTTCTACATAAATTTTAATTAAACAATTTATTTTTTTTTATAATTATTGTGTTGATGAGTTGAATAACTATTTACGTTGTAAAGAATAAATGAAAAAAGTCATTCTCTATACTGGCTGGTTAGTTGTGGGCTTGTGGCGCAAAGGCTTGTTGATAGAGCATCCATTATTTGTCCATTTCTAATATCGAAGAACTAGAGGTTCATTGTCGAACAATCTTTCAACTTTGGGCCGGCCCGGGGTGGGCCGAGCTCTTCCCGTGCTTCACGTTTCTCTTGATTGTCTGCGCGAGTGCGCGAAGTGTTGCCTTTGAATGCAAAGCTTCCTTGATATTACGCTCCTCCTCCTCTTCATCCCCCTTTGAATGTGTATGCCACATCCTCGAGAGCTTTGGAGATCAGCTTGGTTGCAACCTCACACCTTCCACCTGTTACAACCACTGTGTCTGCAAGAAAAAGTGAGAAATTCCCAGGCTTTGGGTTGCTGGTTTCAGCCTGCAGATTCTGAAAACCCAGAGACACATTAAAGACCATTCCTTCTTTCCGCACTTTATCATTATTTGCGTCTAACCGCAATCCCGATTCCTCAAACTCAAGACCGATTCCTCTTCCTGCTGATTTTGTCAAGTTGCTAACCAGTTCGGGGGCATCCCTCTCAACCACAGCAAGCTCCGCCCGATAAACGGCATTGATCTTATTACCTGGTTCCAATGCAGCGATTGCTGCCTCTTGGGCTATGCAAAGCACTTCATAAGCCCTGATCTGCATTGGAGTCGGATCAATAAGAAATGTTCTAGCAACATTTGAGCGTATCGGGACCCAACAGCACATACAATAGCACTGCCAGAAGAGTTTCATCGTTGCTTATAGCACCAGGTCTGAGATCAAATTTCCCACCACTCTGGAAGATGGGCGCGTAACAAATATCAATTTTCTCAAGCCTCAGCAGAGACTGCTCTCTCTCGTCCGAGAATGAAGAATGTGTTGCTTTTTTCCCACCATTCTGGCAGACGGGCAGGTAAATAAAACGAACACCCTTGCCTTCCAGCACAGCCTTCTCTGTCATCTTCGAGAGTGAGGAATGTGTTGCTCTTTTCTCTTCATCTATGATCCTCACAAGCTTTGGAACAACACAGTACTTCAATGTAGAAGCAGACAAATATGCAGCTTTCCTCACATTCATTATCTCCATCCGATCCTTCAAAGCTAAGATGTCAGATATTCCATGTGTTATATCACCACGCGGAAGTCCAGAATTCTTTAACTTATCGGCCCACATCTCAAGGAGTTTACCTTCAGGAGCCTCTTTTGCGATGTACCCAACCACAGGTGACTTCAGTTGTGTGCGGATTAAATTGAAAATAGCATCCATCTGTGTACTCCCATCCTCACCTTTTGACTTCACATGCATGACGATATCAGCACCGACAACGTCTTGAACCGTTTTGGTCACAGCTTCAAGCAAGGATGCTTTCATTTGGCTACATAAAAAATGGATCTGCTTTTCTCCAAAAACCATTATTGTTTGTGGGAACTCGTAACCAAACAACCAAATATTCATGGCTGAAGATTTCAAGTACCTGAAGTCATAGGTGGAGGTGTTGCTATAGCCAGGACATTAGAACAACCCCAAAATATTTCTCTGTATTCATTCCAATGTGCATATAATGCCCTAAGCCGACTGCCAAAGTTATACAAATCAATTTTGTAATCACTTTGCCCAATGGCAGGAGGTCCATTTCCACAGTCCTGTTCTGACCTGACTAGACTGCACAAATAGGAAAGGCCAATTGGTATTTACTTGCAAGTGAACACATAAAATACTTGAAGATTTGCAATGCAAAATTGTGCTCGCTGTCCCATATTAATGTTATCACTTTCGGACAAGGCGGATTAAAGTTCACAATCCATTGAAATTTGAACAACACAACTTCACCTCTTTTTCTAAACCACATACTACCTGTAGAAACCTTAAATGTTCACAGATTACATGAATAAAATCCAATATCTAAAAAAGCATAAACATTTTCAAGATCTAGATTTCAGGTGAAGCGAAATCTAAGGTTTATGTAACAACAAAAAAATGAAAATCGAAAGAGAAAAAAAAACCACGAAGATGAATTTCCACAAACAGTTATTTATGAGCCCAAATTGAGTCACATATGTCGCACAGAAGCGGTGATTGCAGAGAGATTTCGGCTTTGATGCGAGTCAAAATACAAGATTGAAGATGGATGGAGACAGAAGGTGAAGAAGAAATACCTGAAAGGGTATGAACAACCGCGTGTTGATACGGAAACGAATCGAGGAGGAGGAGGAGGCCGGCAGCACCCTTCTCGATCGATCTCTCTGTTTTCACAGATCTCCCGATACCATTCTGATGCCGGCGGCGTTTGTTTCAACGACATCGCCATCGTACGCGCGTATATCCACGGCACGGAGCCAACCGGCTGGTATATAGCAATGAAAAATGCCAGGGTACAGCTTTTGGAGGTATTTATGTATGTATGTATGTACGTATGTATATCCTATAGACCCTTTAATATAAAATTTAAGAGTTGATTAAGTAGAATGATGACAAGCGCTTACCCCTTCTTATTCACGTAAAAAGACAAGAAATTCAAAAAAATATAAATAAATAAAAATCAAATAAAAAGGAATGGCGGAGAAGGGAGTGGTGTACATTTGGGGTAAACCTTTGGTATATTGCTCATATATGTGTGTGTGTGTGTGTGTGTGTGTGTGTGTGTATGTATGTATGTATGTATGTATGTATATCCTATAGACCCTTTAATATAAAATTTAAGAGTTGATTAAGTAGAATGATGAAAAGCGCTAGAGAAAAATTTCTCTCGCCTGTCCTCCTCCATTGAATGAAATCCACAATTTCTTAGATTTGTTCAAGCATATACCAAGAACTAAAGTAGAAACTTCCATCTTTTTCACGGATCTATTGCCGATGTAGGTCAACTAAAGGATCCATCTCCACGAAGAAAAGTCTACAAATGAGGTACGATTCGTATTTTTTGGGTATTTATGTATGGTCGAGCAAAGTCCGATCTTCAGATTACACTTTCTTTCCAGATTACGTCCTGAGAATAGGTTTCTTTCCCATATATTTTAAAAATTACATTAATCATTTTTTTAAAACTAAGAGATGGTTGGATTATAATAATGTTCAAACGTAAAAAAGATTACTATACATAATTTTGTAAGTAATTATTTTAATTTTATAAGTTTAGTTCATTACAAGAAAATTTATACTCCCTCCGTCCCCCTGTATTTGTAAGTAATTATTTTAATTTTATAAGTTTAGTTAATTGCAAGAAAATAAATGATCAACTGTCTAAATCAAATAAATTTAAAAAAATATTTTCATAGGCTTGAATAATCCTTTATTATTTTATATAAATTCGAGAGTCAAATCTCTTAGAAGCTAACATCTATCAAGCATTAGAGGTGACATGTGGCAAGCCTTAGAGATGACATGTGACAACTTTAATATGAATTGATTTCTTTTTAGCAATGCTACGTTCACAAACAGAATCATCACAAACTCCACAAACTTACTATTTATGGTTTAAATTCTCATTTTAAAATTATTTTAGATTATTTAATTTTTTTTATTAAAGTTCACAAATAGTAAGTTTGTGAAGTTTGAATTTGTGAACCAAACATTTTCCTTTCTTTTTTATTTTACTTCCTTATTTTTCATCTCTTCAAATATCACACCTTTTCACTCCTTTTTCAAAAACGATAATTTCCTATTTCAAAATTCACAAATCTAAATTTTGGGTTTAAAATATTTTTAAATGTGATATATTAATTTTAATAAAATATTACATTGCAACAACTATATGTGAAGTTTTTTTAAATTTAATACTGGACTCAAATTTAATAAATCTTAAAATTTACTACCTCCGTCCCATTTTATAACGCCTGTTTCGGTTTACGATGTTTGACTGAAATTATTTTCAAACCATTTTATATGACAAATGACATATAATTAAAAAATAAAAATTACATATTAAAAAATTACACTACAAAACTAGTAGTGACAATAATATTTTATTTTATCAAATTGCTAACGAAAATAGAGAAAGAAAGTGAATGAAGTTTGACTCTGTGAATTGTAAACAGGCATTATAATTTGGGACGGAGGAAGTACAAAACAATTTTTAGATGTATACTGGTATATATTGTCTAATAAAATAGCATAGTCACGTCAATTATTTATTAGATGCGAATATATCAAAAGATCTAAGAGATTTAGATATTTTATAAAATGGTTAATGAAAAGATACACATCCTGATATTGGTTTCCTCATTATGGATAAATTTTAACCAAATATAGTTTTCTAAAATAAAATAAGGATTGCATATCACCTAATTAAAGATAAAATGTTCAATAAATAAAAGTACTACATTATGTGTCTCAATATTTTAAATGGAAAATAATTACAAGGAATACTATATAATTCCAAATGGAAAATAATTACAAGGGTATTATAGAGGAAAAAACTTTTTTTTAAAAGAAAAGTTTTTTTCTTAAAAAAATAAAATATTTTCTTATTCAAAATATAATTTATAAAAAGATATAATTTCATCATCTTTATTAGTAACAGTTTTTTGGGACCTTTATTTTAAGAACAGAATTTTTCATAGAGAAGAATATAATAGTAGAAATATAATAGAAAATCAAAATATAAGTTTGATATGTATATATAGAGTAGTTATATTTTAAAATGATGAATGAAAAAAATATAATTCTGAATAGAGCATTTTAGGATAAAATAATTAACATAAAGACGCAATATTTGTATATTTATGTTTAAAAATAGTCGCATAAGGAGTTATTTTGTGATTATTGACAATGGTTTACATTAAAAAACTCTCTAACTTTGACATACGTGACCTAATTTATCTTTAATTTTATTTTGTAGTGATATATTTTTATACGATAGGAAAGTTAAAAATAACATAATAATATACTAAAATATGAAAATATAAATTAAGTGTACCGTGTACATAAACCTTTCCCCCTTCCTATATAGAGTTTATAGACAGGGGGCTCTTAGCTCAACAAAAATGTTTTATAAAAACTGAAAACATGAAGTGGTAGACGAAATGCACTTTCTTGTTCCTCAAATACCCTCACTTGTTTTTTTTTGTCAGTTGCAAAATCATCAACAATATATTGTAAAGACGTTTAATACACCGTATATGGTTTAAACACAATTTTCATTCTCCTAATATACATGAGTCCCATCCAGTCATTGTGGGGGTCGTTAGAACCTACAAGTGTATTATATTGGTCAATTGCTCGGGTCAAGTCCGAAGGAGATTTCGAGTTTCACACTTTCACCATAGATATTTTCCCAATGTTTCTTACCATTGCTTTNGGGGACATACGCATGAACATGGCCTGATATTATCACCAAGTAAAAACACGTACAGTTAGCTTGAAACCCCAAATTGTTTTACTATACTGAGCTTATACAGGGTAACTTGAGCAGCCGAAGCATGGAAAAAAAATCAAATGTCAACAACAGCAACGGCATAAGCATGGGGAGGTAGGAATTTACTGTTTACCATGGGAAGTTGGAAATGATCAACTCTGTGTGCATTCGAATGGTTGAGGGCCGCCTTCTGCAAGCTCACGCATCCTGAACCGTTCTAGAAATTCAAAAGGCCTGCAAAATTTTTAATCGTATGTTGAATTCCACATTCTTTTGAGTATTCTGCATCCATAGAAACACAACACACACACGCGTGCACACACACACCTGTGTGTGTGTTCACGCGAAGGTCCCCTTTGACCACTTCTTGCCAAGTCTTCTTAAGTCTACCTCTAGCTCTAGCCACATGTCTATTCACCATTTAATCAACTATTCTCACTGGATGCTCTATACCTCTATTGATCTTCCCTCCACATATCCAAACCACTTAAAACGAGTTTCTACCATTTTTCTATAATAGGTGTCACTCCAACTTAGTTGTAACCAAACAATGCCTAAAAATTCTGTGACATGTAATTTTTCTACTATGCACCGTAACTTAACCCCACATCTGACCCCAAACAACATAAAAGCTTCGGCGCTGTCAGACTCTCAGTACCAAACCTAGCATATCCCAAGAGTGGTAGGATCTGTGGACAAGATATACGTAAGTCTCACCCCCAAAAGTCTACCCCAACGAGAGGACCCCGACAAACAATAACACATCATGTGAGGAGTGCTAAAAAACATATCAAGCACAAAAAAATAACCCCTACAACCCTAATATAATGCCTCTAGCAACTTCAATAAATGCCCTTAGAGAGATTTAAAACTGCTAGCTTGGGTGAATGGCATTCAACAATCGGGATATTCCCGGTGGCAGCAGCTAGGAGAAAGGACTTACAGAGCCGCATGACGAGTGCTACATAAGTTGCGCTGATTGTTTTCCATTACATCTAAAAAATTTGAAGTCTCTGGATCTAATCCATTAGATAATCCGGATTGTAGCGAATCACTTGGGGTCCAAATCTGATGCCACAAATAAAAATATCATTGTTCTTTAGATTCACACAAATGCATACTAAGATATTTCACACACTTGATATATTTTTTTTTAAAATAGTCGAGTTATATAGTTCTCACTTTTATGGTGTTCTCAATCCCACTCGTAGCCACAGCACAATCATATGGATGACACTGTATACAATTTACAACTGAAAGGTAAAGTGGGATGTTAGAGAAGTGGGAAAATGATATAAATTAGCCTTTTTACTGTATTCTAAAAAGTAATATTAAAAGAATAAAGAAAGCAAATGCATTACCAGATTGATCTCCAACAAGAATTTTTACTATCCTGCCAGTTTTCTTTTCCCAAATGAACCATCTACCATCATCGCTCCCACTGGCAATATAATCACCTAAATGCATATATTATAAATTTGTATCCAGTGAAGAGTTTTGATTTAACAGTAAAGTATAGGAAGAATAACATAGCAAAGATTAAATCCAGGCATACCTCTTTGGCCAAGAAAACTAGCCTGTTTTATATCAGTGTCCACATTGCAGTGACCTACATATCTGTGTTTCATATCTATAACTGCCTCAGGCTGCAACAAGGGTAAGATACAACCATTTTTGATAATGCTAAAATGATTAGAAGTTGCAAAGGCACGATTACAATGGAACTCAAAAGAATCAGCGCTGGAACTAAGAGCTATTCCTAACTAGTTATACTTGTCGGATTAAAAATCTACACCACCTATCCTCAAATTAATATTATGGTTTGACTTCATGGAGTTTATGAAAAAGTGTTGAAAAATAAAAAATGTTGGGTTAGAATTTGTTTGGAAGAGAGAGTTGTCAAGAGCCACATATTCCATACTTGATAAGTAAAGTACGGATTTTATTTTGGGACAAATGGAAAGTAAGGATTATAAAAGTTATTTTTTATTTTATTTTATTACTTATTTTATTCCTCATTTTTTGAAGTTCTCAAAACAAATTTTTAATTTTCTATTTTAGAAAACAAAAAATAAAAATTATTAATTTAAGATGTACATATGCAGTATATGTTAATTTATTTTTCAAAAAAAAATAAATTTTAAGAACATTATAAAAACAATTTTTAAAAGAAATTTAAAACACTTTGATTAATAAAAGAAACAAAAAAGGGAAAAAATAAAAAATAAATAAATAATAAGAAATGAGCACCAGTGCTCCCTATGGTTTGAAAAATAGGCACTAGTGACCCCTTCTTCGCCGGAAAACTGGCCAGAAAATGATTTAGAGGGGGTATGGGTGCAAGGTACCACGGGGACTTTAAAAATAAGTTTTGAAAACAAGGGGGATATTGGTGCCTATTTTCCAAACCACGGGGGGTACTCATGTTATTTGGCCAAGATACAAAATACTCCATAGTATATGTTGATAACGTAAAAATCATGACCTGGTAAGATGATTTCTCATCTTGGCTCACGGACGATGGTGAACCATTTGTTCTTGTCTCCGTACTTGAATCATCTCTCCTATAAATCCTCACGTTCAGTCTTCCTTCAATGACATTGGGCTCAATATTATCGTGTGATTCATCCCCACTTAGTGATGTTTCAAAAGCCAATTCCAGATCCTCGTCAGAATCTTCTCTCTCAGACCTCGCACCATCTTGTGAAGAATCGCTATTTGCATTTGAGTGGTAGAGTATGTCACTCAATGAAAACACCTGTCCAACCTCACTTTCAGATTTAGATTGTCCATCATGTTCATTCTTAGCTTTCTCCACTTCTGCTGTTCTTTCGGGGAAAACAAGAAAGTTTTATGAGATAATAACAAAAATTCAACTAGAGAATTTAGGCTGTTGATGAAAATGTGAACTGTCATCTGTGAGTCATACCATAGAACTCTAAAGTGGAACAACAACAACAAAAACAAAGCCTTATTCTAACTAACTTGGAGTTAGAATCACGTCAGGTCATTAAAAACAACAGCAGCTCGAAAGTATGGTATGTGGAAGGTGTGTGTGTGCAGACCTTGCCCCTACTTGAAAGTAGAGAGGCTGTTTTCAAGAGACCTCTTGCTCAAGCTGCACATATAGAAAGATCACAGTAGATACATAAAACAGAGAAAGCATAGATACAACACAGATAAAGCACCAAGAACCCAGAGTAAACAAAAACAAACTATACAAAGCACACAACAACACCTTCTAGCTCAAGGCACCTGCCCCTCTCCACACACACACACACAACAACAACAACAACAAAGATATAGAGAGAGAGAGAGAGTCTTTTTTTTAACAAAACAAGCTAAGTAGCTTATTGGGCCTCAGTGCCTTTAGACACAAGCATATTCTTGCCTTCACCTCTCTTTTCCTTTTTTTTCCTTTGTTTTTTTCTTTTTTCATCCATTCCTCCTTTCCAAGTAATCCACTTGTCCATTCTAAGTAGCTTATTAAATGGCATGAGGATAATAAAACTCATGATGTGGAAGATGGAAATGAGGATGCAGTTAAAATTTAGATAATAATGCAATGGATGAATCTACTGAGTATTACTATGACTTATGGAGAGTATTTAGAAACTTAGAATGTAAAGTTTTAAGCACGTTCTAATTTTTTATTATGGACTGAAATGCATATTTTACCCTTTCATGTTGGATTCACTTACCGTCTTTGTCCTTTATAGAACAATCCGATGAGTTTTTTTGAACATGACAAGTTATCATTATAAATAGCTATTTTACCTGATTATCATCATCATCATCATCAGTTTATTCTATTATTTTAAATTGAGGCTAACGTCTCACTTTGCCTCTGGACTTAAGCCTCATGAGGCAGAGGCTGACCATAGGCCCAATTTTGCCTTGTAAGATCTTGAATTGTGCAATGTGTGGATGAATTCTACAAGTATAAATTTTCAGCTTATTTACATTTGATACCATTTTGGTCTAAATGTGAAACTTTTTTTTGTACCAACAAAGTACAAACTAAAAGTAAAAGAGATCAAAGATAAGGACCAAAATGAAATATGCCACCATAGCTGAAGGGCCAAAAGTGAAATTAATTAATTTTTATTCTATTCTAGAAAATTAAATAGCTTAAAATAGTATTGTTGAGCCTTCCCCATCTCTGTTGTGCTGCATTATAAGTGATTAATCGCACTTGATAGCAAAAAGATGTCAATCAGCACAACACACTCACCTGCATTGATAAGCCTTTTTAAACTATCCACTTTTTCTGCAGCTTCAGTACCATCTGGAGCCATTGATTGAGCACACATAGCAAATTCCATAGCTTCCTTGTGTTTTCCTAGCTGCAAAGAACGTTAAGAGCTAAAATAAGAAAGGCCTAGAATTCTAATTTTCTTTATGCAAATAATTGTGTTCTCAATGTCCAGTCTCCTGCATCATGCAAGTACTGAAGATAAATTCAGCCTTATTCAAGTTTCAGAAAGGTTACCACAATTGAGTATATGACCCAAACATCATAAGTTCACAAGTAGGCAACTAAACCAAACACATTTTTCTATAAGTTAATCTAATGTAGTCATTAACAAATCCTTCAAAACATTTACAAGTTCTTAAGCCATAAAGTTGAATAGGTGGAGAAAATCTCAATATGCACCCCAAAAAAGTTAACAAAAAAGTAATATGCACCCTCACTTTTCTCAAATTTCATGGCGCACCCTCAGAAATTATAATAGCTTCCATTTAACCCTCCATCATCCATTGACGTTAACTGCTGTAGTAATATTAGTGCCTTTTTAGCCTCTTCTAAAATATTACATACGGAATGGAGTAAAGCATAAAAATCCTAATCACCTTTTGGCTTCCACCCCGGTCGCATATCATGGCAAACCGAGTGAGTATTGCATTTGGCCATTTTCATCAATTAGGGGAGAATCGAATATGGAAACAGGGGTTAATTTTTAAAAAATGACAACTAATTCCATATCTACATTTAATCATGGTCGAGTTGCTGTGATACAAATAAATCAACCACAAAACTAAAACAAAAGTACGAAAACTAAACCTGGAAATGCAATATGCTAAACCTGAAAATGAACAACATATATTTGTAGATAACTTTTGAAGATGTAGTTAGCAAAAACTTTCAAAGTTACAGAAACATGAATTTATTTTAAAAATAACAGCGCGCTCAAGCAATACAAAAAGAACACTCCAACGACTGCTCAAACACTACAAAAAACAATCCAACAAATGCTTGAGCACTACGAAAAACAGCCCCAAACAGTTGCTGGACCACTAAAAAACCCTCCAAAGGTTGCGTTTTCTACTTTTATTTTTAACCAAGTGAATATGTTCTTGAGTCTATTCCCAAATTTGCCCATAAACTCCGGCATCCATAAGCTGCTTCTGGAAATCCTTACTGCCTCCAGCCACGACCCTGCACTGAGAACTTTTTGGACACCCGTCGGGCTTAGCGGACTGCATCAACTTCACAAGCAAGCCCATTTCAAATTTGCTCTTGTTCGTTTCACCGATGGGTAATAACCACCGGAAGAAGCTAGGGTTACAATGCAAATTGCAGCCTTTTCTTGGACGGAGGAATGACCGGAGAGGATCGAGGAGATGGAGCAGAACGAGAATAGTTCGCGAGGTTAATATTCTTGCAGTTAACGGCAATGGAAGGTTAGGTGGAAGCTATTATAACTTTTGAGGTTGCACTATGAAATTTAGAAAAAATGAGGGTGCATATTACTTTTTTAATATTTTTTGAGGGTGTATATTGAGATTTACCCAAATAGGTGATGCAATTGTTGGAAGAAGTACCTGTAATAAAGCTTCAGCCATCAAAATTAGTGCCCCAAATGAAGTTGAATGAATCTTTCTAGCTTTTTGACAATCTCTTATAGCCATGTATACATCATTTTTCCAATTTCTCTGAGAAAAGTAGATTAACAACAGCATTTAGGAATACCATCAACAGAGAAATCTATTTGAAGCAAAGAAATAAAGTATTCTTCAGAAACCTTGAGCAATAAGGCCGCTCGAATGCATAGACAATCATAAGTAAGTGTAGGTCCTATTTCATCCTCATAACCATGCAAGACTTCGTTACAGGCTTCGATACCATGGTAATAATTTTCTCCTTTCAACGAGTTTTCGGCAGTCTGAATCAACTTTCTGCACTTCTCAAGCTGCAAAAAAGGAGCGAGGAGAGCTACGTGAGGCAAAAAATAAAAAAGCTGAAACCGTTATGGATGCTTTCATGGGATGGGTATAAAATAAGAAAACTATCTCAGAGAAAAGTAGGATAACCTTAGCAGTTGCATGGCTTCTTAGTAAAGATCCATTTAAAAAGATACCAGTAACAGATGACTGCAATTCTACTTCCTTGACAACGGCATTAAAGTTCATAAGCTTAGCTACATCATTGGAAGAATATCGCATAGAACTTCGTGCTTCAACAAAAAGAAAGCTTCATAACTGTTTTGAATGTATGAAGTATGCTATAACCAAAGCTTTAGCAACACATTGTAATAGAATTTTGGTTTAAGATAAAAATAATGTATTAATACAAATAAACTTGGTGAAATGCTTAGAATGAAGGATAAGGATATTCATAGTGAAATCAAGCATACATACTGGGATTGACATCCATCAGATACACATGCTCCCCACTGTAGCTAAGTAGAACCTCTTCGCCGTTGGGACTAAATGTAACATGAGTTAGATGCAAGCTAGAATGGCCCTGAAAGAGGGTAAAAATATTAATGTCATAGTTTCCATTTACTAAAGCAGGTAACACACAAGTCTTAGCTCAAATTTAAAGTTCTACTTATATTCAAAATAATCTTGAAGATTCGAAATTTCTGCAAAACCTCATCCAGCGCACCATGGCACGTGTTCCATATTAGTTACTCCTTCATGTTGGGATTCCATTTCGTATTTTTTCAATCAAACATTTTAAAGTTTCACCACTAATATATTTTTATGAAAAATGATTCATAATATAAAGTTGATATAAAAATGTTATTTCCTGAAAATACTTTCATAAACATATAAATTGTTAACACAAACTTTTAACATAGAAAGGTCAAAGATAAAAAATCCCTGTGGGACTGAGTAAGTATAGTATATGTATATATAGCATAATGCAACAAGCTTATAGAATATGGACAAATAAACCCTCAAACTGTCACGGAAAAGTCAATTGAGCTCACAATAGATTGAAAAATCCGACATTTAAACAGCAATATAAACTCTAAAATGCATGTGAATCCATTTCACGAGTTACTAAGAAATAATCAAGTAAACCTTCCCATAGTTGACGGCATGGGCAACTTTGTTTATGTGCCATTATACGCAGTATCTAACACAATCATACCAAAAGCAACAACAACAACACGCAACAGCAACCCAGTATATTTCGGGTCTGGGAGGGATGAAGATGTATGCAACCTTACCCCAGCAAAAAACAAAGAGGTTGTTTCTGTTATACCCTTGATGCATTTACTGCCAAAAACTTCATTGGAAGTAAAACACAAGGGAATTTTAATACGTCATTTTGATTTTTTTTAAAATTTTTTTAAAATAATGAACGATCGGTTACAAGCAGGGGGCCCGAGGCCTGTTAACCTCGTGACTACCCCGGGGCCCATTAACACCCGAGGTAGATAACCCACTATAGAAAGCCCAAAGTAAGCCCAGCCCCATAAGCCCAAATCTACTTCCCAGAGGGTCACCCATCATTTTTGCTACTCCCATGCCAACACGCTTAACTCTTTAAAATTCCTCCAAATTTGCATCTTCTGGGGATCAAACCCGGGTGGTATGGTTCGCCAATCCACCCTGTGACCATCTCTACAGGGGAAACCACATACATCATTTTGATTTAGTCCGTTACTTGTCCCGCATAGAACCACTATAGTCAAAATTGAGAAATCGCATTGACCTAGTAATAGAACATTTGATACCCGCGTTAAACCGCTCTGGTCAAAACTAGGAAATTGCATTGACAGATAAATAAATAGTTAAATACGAGGCAGGTAATAACCGATATTTATTACAGGTAATTGGACAAATTGGCTCTACACATATTCATCCATATACCCACGTGTATCCAGTTATCCACTATTTAATTTGGATACAGTTACCCGCACCATAATGTGCCTCCAAAGTCAATATCCTTTAATTTTACAAGTATAAATAAACAAATCTCACAACCAGAGGGATAGAGAGACATGCATACAAAATTACAAATATCCTTTAAAATTTTATTTTTTTAGTACGATTTACAAATTTCCATCAAATTATTGTCATCAAAATATATGTTTAGAAACAGTACAGTGGATAAAAACTGGAAGATTTTGTAGAGTTCACCACACAGATTTACAATTCAGGAGCATGAAAAATAACAAGACTAAAAATACATGATAAACCATCTAGAAAAAACAGTTCATAACTTTAATGCTGCAGGAACAAATTTAAGTGTGTAACAATTTATGTATCTGAAAAATAACAAGTGTTAAAAAGTTCGGAACTTACGCGGTCAGAAAGATGCATTGGACAGAAGTAATTGACACATGAAGGAGGTGCCAACTTTGTCTGACTAGAGGACAACGGTGGCAGCATGCGTCTATCATATAAGCGTGCAAAAACATCACTGCAGAGATTAATGTAGAAAATTAGAAGAAAATTGGACCATAAAGAAAAAAAGACATAATCACATACCTTTAGAAAATAAGCTACAAAGACCTACCTCCCACCAACAAGAAGCAAATGAGGCCTAGTTGAGCTGATATCACAAGACTTGAAGGAAAAAAACTGCTTAGGGGGATCTGCCAATGACTTCTTGGCTCCACAGCGCAAGTCAAGCTGTTCAACACATAAATATTTTCATAGTCTTCTAGAAAAGGAGAAATGTTCGTCTGGAAAAGCACTTGTGTATGCATCCCTTACCCCTACTTGAAAGTAGAGGGGTTGTTTCCAAAGAGAGCTCTAGCTCAAGCACCACATGTAAATTATGTAATCACATAAGCAGCATTACCCCTATGTTTAAAACATAGAGTGGGGTGTTTTCAGATGACCCATGATGAGCGTCGGAAGTTGCATTGACTAACTAACTGCTTCTTCACTTTGCTTTATTCCATCATACCCCAAAACAGAAAATAGTTAATATTTGGCTCCATTGGAAATGATGGAAACGACATTGTGATAAAAACATTGTTCTCTAAAAGGCATTCCTAATTTATCTAAAAGTCATTTTTATTTACGCATCAGCATTGTGATAAAAGCACAGGGTATTACAAAAGAATGGGTCCAGCATAAAACAAAAAATAAAAAAAGCAAAAGGTTGAAACGAGCCAGATGAATAAAACCAAAATCATGTAATCGCTAAAACCTCATGCTTTGCTGGAAAAAAGCAAGCACGACAAGTTTTCGTGTTTAATTACAATTTCACATACTACGTAGCCGGTAGAACATAAATATGAAGGAACATTCGACACTCACAGTCCAGCAAATGGGACTATGGGAGTGTTTAGCACTTACAAGAATGTTACGGCATTCTTGATGAGAAGAAGCCGCAGGAGGGCAAGAAGCACATTCTCGAAAGTCATATTGCCTCAAAGTTCCATCTTCACTTGCACTCCAAACGACATTTGGATTTCCAATCTCAACCTGCAACAAAAAAAATGTAGCATGAAATACTGAGAGAAACCATCAAATGAGCATGAGTTAAATTCCAAAAATTAAAGACCCTGTCACTGTGAGATCTTACCGCTATTTTTTTTACCCTACGTGTGTGACAGTGATACACTGATGATGGACTAATAACATTCTCATCAAGTCTCCTTCCCCTTAAGCGAGACAGGCGGAAAAGCCGAACCTACCATACAAAAAAATGCTGGGTGAGTCCAAGTCCACAACAGAGTCACAAGTCACAACATGTTGACAGCATACTCATTAGTGAGTATGCATGTATGATGACCCATCGAGATATTACTTCAGCGTCCCCAGCTCCAGAAACAACAAGCTCATCAGATGTTTCAGGAACAAATTTTGTGCAGAATATATTTGCTGAATGACCAGTCTCTATAGAGTGCAGTAGCTTACGGTTGAAATAGTTCCATATATTCATCTGCACCAAATAAAAAAACTAAATAAGTATCTGGATGCATGTAACTCCCAATCTACAAGCAAATATCAAATCATTCAAAGACCTAGTTACACAAATAAATTGAGTTTCAATGTGACAATTGAGTCTCCCTGAGTTAATAATAATAGTCTCATAATATTTTTAAACTACAGATAAGGGGTATGATAAGGTACTTAGGAAATTACTATGGTGTGCTATGAAAGTTGCATCCCCCGTGTATATTTTCATTAGCACGGAATGCAACTTCATCGCCCCTCCGTCCCGTTGGAAAATCCCAACTACCATTAGCACAGACACTAAGATGTTGGAAAAGTGTGTGCATGAGGTTAATTTAGAAGAAAGATAAAAACTTAAATAACCACATATTGCTTTCCTTAAAGAAATCTGGAAAGTATTATAAGAGAGACGGAATAGGAAATATGGAAAAGGCTAACAGGATGGAGGAATAATAAAATCAACTAAATGGCCATTTACTCTTGTATCATCAGATCCAGAAATCAAAAGTGACCCTCTAGAATTCCAAGCAATAGTGTTGACGCAGCCTTGATGCCCCTATTACACAATAGACAACAGAGTTAAAGAGCACCTTTGAATTCATCAATAAAATTACTCTGCATCTGTATAAAATAATACAGAGTACATAGCAAAGTTACAAGTCCTCAAACAGTACCATCTTTAGGGCGGAAGAATTTCAGAATTCATTTTGTGCATTGTTTTTGCACTAAATTTCAAGAGCATCAAAACATACGACTTAGAAGTTCCTACATCCAAATAATCTAAATAATGCATTCAGCCTTTTACTAGAGATGACTAATAAAAAGTTGTGTTCCACTGCAGTATTATTTTATAAGGACATACACAAACTTTAGTCCAGAGAACACTTGAAGATCTATAAATTTATCCTTTTCTAGTTCAAGACCAGACACTTTAAGGTTATATTAGGCTTAATTTACAAAACAAACAAATAAACAAACCAACAGAATGCACTAAACAAAGAGTGCGATAAGTTGTGGTCAACAGCATCCACCAAGGTATATGCCTTGAAATCTGTGATCGTTGTCAAGGCCACTTACCTCTAATTCCCTTTCAAGAGACAGCTTCCGTACCATGGAGGAGTGCATTTGAAATCTATGATCATTGTCCTGTGTGAAAAATACATTTGAATGGATCAAAACTAACAAATGATATGCTCCTTATAAAATAGAAGCAGTATCTATTAGTATTACGGACTCAGTGAAATGAAGCAACAAGCTGTGGAGCACAGTTTAACAAGTCAGATTACATGGGAAAGAAACAACAAAGAAATGATCCTGGCACTGTTAGCTATTTAAATTTTCCGAACTAAAATTTTGTTGCATTATGATGATCTTGAGATTGGGACAATTCCTTCCATATAAATAACTTTATTGTGTAAGTATACCAAAAGTCTAGTAAAGCAACAGATATAGCAACAATCGTAGTTCGATTCTCTGGTGTCTAGTAACAATTCAATAGCTCTTTCATTCATCAAGTTACTAGAATCACTACAATTAGATAGAGCAACAGATAGAAAAAAACATGAGCACAAAGGAATTTCACAGAAACGCAATTAACGAGAAGCGCGAGGTTTCTCAGAGTGAATTCAGCCGTAATTAGACGATTTAACTCAGCAGTATTCAAACAAGACGAGTCAGGAGGGAGCATACATGGCGGATGTCGAGGGTGCGGATATTGATCAAGTCGGTGATGTTGCCGTCGTGAAAGCAAAGAGACTCCATTTCGGGAGAGAGAAAAGCTCACAGAAACCGTTTAGCTTCAACGGGACGATGAAATGGAGTAAAGCAATCCTAGCTCGATCGGGGTGAAGTCGTTGCGAAGACGACGACGGTGAAAATTTTCAATATCCGTCCGATCACCGGACAGCCTTGTGCGCTCGGAAAATGCAGGCCTGTTGGAACTTGGAGCAATAATACAAAAGCAAACTGCTTGAGGAGTGAAACTTGGGCCTCTGTAGTTTATTACTCTGACAATAAAGGCCCTCTAGCCAGAGATGAGATCCTCATTGGGCTTGAAGAATGCAAGAGTTTTCATATCAAGATAATCGGAAATTTATTTGCTTATAAACTACTCCGTAACTTTTAAGCTGTGTGTAAGCTATAAAAATTAAGTAGATTTACTTAAAAACTGTTTATCAACAATAAGTTTTAAGTAAATAAACATCAGCACAGAGAAACACCTCTTGTTTTGGTTCGAAGATATCAGAAGGACGAGAAAATTATTTTCTCTCATTTTCCTTAACTAAATAAAAGAAATTTTATTTTTCTTCCGCTTAGTTTATTTTGCAAAAAAAAAAAAAAAAAATATACTCTCGAGACCTTTGACTTTCTGTTAAGAACACTCAGAAGTCAGATCCCGCGTTATTTGAAATATACTTCAAGATACACTCGATTTTCTGATAAGAACTTTCAAGTCACACATTAGCTGAAATAAACTTCGAGGTCTTTAAATTTTTTGTAATATATTCCAAGGGTACATTTCGTGTATTTAGCCGTTAAAATTGAAAGTTCTCTTACATTAACAAATACTAAATTTTACCTCCTCGCTAATCATTACTTTATTATTTTCAATGAAATTATTCAATTTATCAAAGTAAAGGAGCTTTCAATCCTAATACCAAAATTGACAGGATGTACCTCAAATTATAATATTTTGGATTAATTAAGACATGAGAGCTCTTACCAAAAAATCAACTAGTATCACACCCGTGCGTTGCACGGCTTGCATTTATATTATTAAATTTGATCATTATTGAATAATAGAAATTAATATATCATAGAATATAAAGTTTAGTATTTTAGAGGATTGAATATAAAAATTTCATCTCTACCACAGTGGAATATGCAATACTAATATTGATAAAAATTACTGTCCCACTCGCCGTCATCGCTCTCAATCGAGACGCAATGACCATCAGGAGTGATCTGCGGATCCGTAGCTTGCGGGGGACGCGACGGCCCTGCAGCGTTAAGTGCACCGGCCAAGTTGACAGGGGCCATGGTGCTGACCAGTTGGGGCTGGAAAGGTGATGGTTGCGGCATCGGCGTCTGGAACGACGTCACCGCCATCGGAGCTTGTAGGGGTATGGTCCCCGCGCCTGGAAGGGCGAAGGGGAACATACCAGGGAGGAAAGACATCCCCCCATTCTGCTGGCACATGGCCATGACCTGGCCAAAGCCCTGGATGGCTTGTAGGTTGGCTGGGTCATTCATGAACTGAGTCATGCTTGGTGGGAACGTTACCCTCGGTCCAGCGGAAGGGACGGGGGTCACGAAGGGACTGATCACGCTGGCCGTCGGGACAGAGCTCAGGCCCAGAGGCAGCACCGGGGCTGAAATGACCGGTATGGTAGCAGCCACAGGGATGCTGGCGCCNGATGGCTTGTAGGTTGGCTGGGTCATTCATGAACTGAGTCATGCTTGGTGGGAACGTTACCCTCGGTCCAGCGGAAGGGACGGGGGTCACGAAGGGACTGATCACGCTGGCCGTCGGGACAGAGCTCAGGCCCAGAGGCAGCACCGGGGCTGAAATGACCGGTATGGTAGCAGCCACAGGGATGCTGGCGCCCTCATTGGTGGCTTGCACCTGTGCGGAAGTAGCGTTGACTTGTTGACTAGAAGACATTTTGAGTGGTGTTTTGGTGGGTAGGTTTGTGTTTAGGAGAAGAAACCTTAACGGTCCCACGGGTGGCGCCAAAAATGATGGTGTAAATTACTTGACCGGTCAAACTATACTAGACCAGGTCTAGAATAGTTTGCTTGATTGGGCAAAGTAAGAAAGGTAAAAACACGCAAATTGACCGGTAGGACTTTAGGTGGAACACTTGTAGCCCGATTTATATTATAACGGAGAATGCACGGGTGCTTTTACAAAGGAGTTTAGAGAGAATGAATTCGGATCCCCTCATTCGAGGGTTACAAGAGGTATATATACTAGGCTGGGGAGCAGGACCACGTGCGCCCACGTGGGGGTATGCTGCTGGCGTGGTGTGAAGTGACTGGCTCTGAGCTGCCCTGTCGTCTTGCGAGGGGGATCACCCTCCTTGTCACGTTCTGGCTTGAAAATATTCCTCCAGCATCTCTGCAACGCCAACCACTACAGTCCAAGCCTCTTTTGGATTCTTCCTGCCGACGCTCTCCGATCTTCGGAAACTAGACCGGGTGATCTTCGAGGGTTGGTTTGGCTAATTTCAGAGGACGGATTTAGGCAATGGAGTAGTTTGACCGGTATACTAACACGAAGTGTACCGGTCAACTTTCTGGCCAACCAGCCACCCCTTTGCTGACGATTCAGATCTCCCTTTCGAGTTCGACTTCTTTGACCGGTCAACTATCTAATCCAACCCTTTGACCGGTTGTGGGTGAAATACACCCATCAGGTAAGATATGAAAAAGTAAGGGGTAAAAGGGATTTATTAAGGAAAAAGAAAAATTTATTTGGGGACAAAGAAAAAACGAAAGTGAAAGTTTATTTAGGGACGGAGGGAGTATTAAACTAATTTTGTGTAATCTACGTACTAATAATATCTCCTTAAGTACTGTAGCACAAATTTGTTTTGTATTTGGGGTCGTGGGCCTGCCTGCCACTCTGCCAATAGGGGAGCATTAATGGGAAGTGAAAGACAATCAGACGTTAGAATAGCTGGGCCTATGTTCTGGGCCTGGGCTTGGACCTGGACGTGGACCTGAGTCTGGTGTTCGTCTGCTTTTTCAACTCTCAATGCAGCTGCACACTAGTCACTCCATCTCCGTGAAAACACTTACTCCCATTCATAAATTATATAGGCTCTATTTGTAAAACTAATAATTTCTACTTTGTAGTGCTTCTAAGTCTCTAATCTCTCTAACCCTCCCTTTCGGCCCATCAATTTCACGCAGCCCCCTACATCCCTAAATTGTCGATTTGGGCCCCCTAAATAACCGATCTAGGGGGGTTCAAGGAGGGCTGTGGTGACGGGGTGAAATTGATGGGTTGGGGAAATGTTTAAAGGGGATAAGAATTGTCAATTTTCGAACAAAACACCATAGATGTCCCGAAAACTACTGGTGTCATGGACTTGTGTTATTTTTTTGGTGTGACATTACACATTCCCTTTGAAAAAAAATATGTAAAAAAAGTTTGATATCTAGACAATATATCATTAGTACTCCCTCCGTCCTATAATGATCTTCCCAGAGCACTATTCCAACTTCACGGGAATTTATATTTATTTGTGTTTTTTCATGGCCTATATGATAAAATAAAATATTCTTGTCACCACTTGTTTTGTTGAACTTTTGATGTAGTTTTTAAATATGTATGTTTCATTTCTTATTTCTATACCAATATTTAAATAAAATAGATTGAAAAAACTTGGGATTTTTCTTCGTTTTGCGAACCGGGAAGATCATTATAGAACGGAGGGAGTATTACGATTTAGGGGTGTTCATTCGGTAAAACCATATTGAATCAAAACAAAAAATTTGATTAATTTGTTAGTGTAGTGAATATCAAAACATTGGTTAAATTGGTTCAGTTTGCTTAAATATCGAAACATTTCGGTTTAGTAATCCATAAAACCTAGGAGTGTAAATGGGTAACCAAAAATTTGATTACTGTCCATATCCGTATCTATTTATACGGAAAATATCTGCATTCGTTAAAAGCGGCTATTATCCGTATCCGATTAGTAAACGGATACGGATTTAAAAATCATACATCTGATCTGTTTATAATCTGCTCCGCATTGCATCCGTTTAAGTAATCGTTTATCTGTGTATCTGCCACGTTCTATATAATTTTTTGTAATTATTTATTATTATATTTTGTTTCTCTATTGAAACTGCAAATTATAAGACATTTCTATAAGTAAAATATATGTGTTAAAACTTAAAAATATGTGTAGACATAAAAACATGTGCGTACATGTAGTGTGTATGCGAGAATATCATAAATAAAAAAATTATTATCCCATAACAAATTATAGTTGATATACAGAGTAATACTCCGTAGTATTTTTTACTTTAATTTGATTTAAAATTAAAGTATTGTTTAATTTGATTTTAAAATAGGAAACAGATATGAATATATTCGATATCCGACCGATATCTGACGGACGCGAATTCAGTTTTGATTTTTAAGAAAAATATAAACGAATATGAAGTTGGTAATGATACGTCCAATCCGATTAATATTCGTTTACCCCCTAATAAAAACCAAAACATCAAACATAGCAAATACTCTCTGTCCAAAAATTATCTGTTGATGTATGACTTTCCCAATCATATGCTGGTACTCTATTGATATATGAATGTATGATACGCAAACCTTGGTGAATATCCAAGACCTTGAGTCGGTTCCAGACTCAATCGGAACTAAGTGCACCAAAAAAAGCGTACGGCGGAAGAGTCACAAACCGAAGGGCGACAAGCCGACGACCGAGGCGGCATGGTCTACTTAAAAGTGGACCCGGAGGAAGAATTGTTGTTGGCGTCTGTTTGTATTAACGTCTCCGAGCATCCTATCATTAGTAATTTTAGTTGTTTTTTAATATTTATTGTATATATGTTATTTTTTTTATATATTTGTATTAAAATATTTTTTCCTTTAAATATATATTTCTTAAAGGTTTCGAGCAAACGAATGATACGATGTGAGATCGTATCAAGGAGAAGTTCTTTGCGGCAATGAACAAGGACGCATCCTATCGAACCCGGACCAACTCACTTCCAAATGAGGCAACATCAATTATAAAGTCCGAAAGTTTATCGGAGTTTACGAGGAATGCTCTCGGCCCCGGAAGAGTGGGACGAACGATGTCGATGTTTTGCGGCAAGCCACTGTCTGCTATCAAGACGACAGACATCAATGCAAGAAGGTCTTCGTCAATTGG